TAGACTTCAGGTTTTTATCACGAACTGACATCAGCTATAATGTCAAAGCTGTATTTAACTAAATGGATGAGTGAATTTGTCGCCAAAATTTCAAAGACCTGTTATCTTATACCTAATTGATTCACCCATAAATTGTAGTTTCGCCAAGAAAATAATGAGTACTGCCAAATTTTAACTGGTAACACGGTACATTTTTGTTTAATATATGATAGTGGAGTTCAAGCGGGTCTGTTGTGAGATAGTAACTCGCTGATGATAATAATGGATGGAGACACGACTTCCTGGATTGGTTGAAGTTAGACATTAACACCGTTGGATGCTGGCCAGCTCAGTGGTGTAGAGGTTAAGCACTCGCGCGCAAGACTGGTAGGTCTAGAGTTTGAATCTCGCGAGGTGGGATCGTAGATGCGTACTGATGAGGAGTCCCATACTATGACGAATCGGACGTTCAGTGCTTCCAAGCTTTCCATAGTGGTCTAGCTTCAATCGACTAATGAATTCAACCATCAAATTAGTATATGACAGTATAAGTATCAATCTATATTTCGATTATTAAAAGTCAATTACTATGCTGATTGAAATAAATTTAATCTTGCCACATTTTGATCCATTCAAGCTTATGGATTAAGTGAAGTCAAATGTCATACACATAGTTCCCTTTATCATTTTGAAAAGAGCAAGAACAAAGATTCTAGCAGAATAACATGAATTCATTTTATTTCGTAGGTTCTCATCAGCTGCTTACAACCTGTGATATTTAAAAATCATAATTACATAATGGGTTCAAAATTGCTTACTGAATACTGTAAATATATGCCTAATGTGAAAGAATATTCTACAACATTAATTGTGACGACAGTTCAAAAGTGGGTTAGAAACAATTGATTACATAACGAATAAACATTGATAGGAATATAGTGAGTAGAGTTCAGTTGAAAGATTATTCATTTGAAAGATAGTTGAAAAAATAATATGACATCAATGATGTAATAAATGCAAAAGAAGGAAAAAAGCAAAAAAATAATTAAGGCGCAGTGAACAAATATTTGTCACCAGGGCAAGGAAAGATTAACCACCGTCATCTTTTGAATACATAGGTCAGGTTTTTGACGCCTGATGGCAATGGCTTTAGCAAACTTCAAAAGACTGGAGTTTGGCTGCTTACTAATCACCCTAAAGGATTGTAAGGTGTCTACATGATGTCCTGTATCAAGGAGATGTTTGGTGATTGCACCGTTCAGAGTCTTTCTTTCCCTTGTCCTAAGACTTTTCGGAACATGTTCAAAAAAATCTAAGATATGCTCTCCTTTCAGTTCGGCCGATGTAGCTGCTTTGGCAGGTACACTTAAATTTATAAATGCAGTTGGCGGTAACATGAAAGGGTTGCTTGCCGACTTTTGACTGGGTTATTGAACATGTTGTTTTATGGAGAGTTAAACGTTTAGCAGCCGGATAAGTTCTGGCTAGAGCAGTGTTCAGTCTCCTGTTGATTATTTGTGCGACGTTATCACCTTTAAAGTTAAGATTTATATATATTGGGTTTTTATTAACCGTAGTTATTACCGTCTTGTTTTCTTTAAGCTTTTTATATTTGTTAACAAACCTATGTGGATATAATGAATGTAAACTACTAAATGGAAGTATTGGTTTCATGTTTATTGTAAAACTTGAATAGTCTGAATTTGATTTCGTGTATATGTTAGATAAAATTGATACAAATAAACGATATCGATTTTTTTTAAAGACCTCTTTCTAGCACCCTTTTCAAAGAAAGACCATCTAAACTTGAACCCTGGGTAGGAGGAGATAAAGCTTTAATAAAAAAAGATTAGTTTAGGTATAGAAAAAAAGATATTTGTAAATGTGCTTGATACTTTTATCCTAATTCTATGGAAGGAAATTTTAAAATTGTAATAAGAATTGACAGGAAATGATTTAGGGTTCATAATTTTTAATTATTTATAGCTAATATACACACTTAAAGAGGATTGAGTCAATATTATAGCGATATGTTATGAGTTCCATATATACTTCAATTGTAGGAATGCTTTCCTTGCATTGGCAATCACTACCTTTACGTCTGCATCTCATCCTCTTTATTCATTGATTATGCTACCATATACGTGAAACTTTCCACCTCTTCCATTGTTTCTTCATCAAGTGTGATTCGGTTGGTGCTCTCCATGTTGTGTTTGAGGACTTTGCTTTTTCCATTGTGTATGTTGAGGCCTACTTATGCAGATTCGTCTACTACACCGTTTGTCTTGACATGCATTTTTTTGCATGTGTAGGTTACAGAAAAGCTAGGTCGTCTACGTAGTCCGTCGTATGAATTCCGTATGATGTTGACGATCTTCTCAAGTGTCGAAGAAGGTTCCCTAAATTTCTTCTATCCACAGTGTCAAATACCTTTTCATAGTGAATGAAATTGATATATATTGATGAGTTCAACTCAACTGATTATTCAGCGATGATCCGTGGTGTCGCCATTTGGTCTGTGCACGATAGATCCTTACTGAATCCAGCCTGCTGATCTCGAAGTTGGGCATCTACTGAATCGTTCATCTGGTTCAACAACACTCTGTTGGAAACTTTTCATGCTACTGATAGTAATGTGATGCTTCTCTAGTTCTAAAATTTTCTCAGATCTTCTTTCTTTGGTATCTTGTTGAGGTGTCCTACTTTCCAGTCTATCGGCACTTGTTCTCCATCGCAAATCTTCCTGAATGGAATGTGCAGCATGTTTGAAGTTCCTTCTACGTATGACTTCAGTGCTTCAGCTAGCATGTTGTCTGGTCCTGCTGCTTCCATACTCTTGGTTTGTCTGATAAAAATCCTGATTTCTTCTATCGTTAGTGGAGTGACATCTACAGGAAGGTCTTCGTGTATGGTTTCGATGTTCGGTGGATTCAATAGAACTGTCTTATTTGGTTCTTCAAATTGTTTAACCCATCTGTTCATCTGTTCCTGAATCTCGGTGATTGGCTTGTTTTCTTTGTCCTTGACTGGTTTCGCTGTTTTATTATATTTCCCTGATAGTCCCTTCATTGTATCATATAATTGTTCCATATTTCTTCTACGTATTTCTGCTTGTCAGCCCTAATGTTACTCTTCACTCGCTTGTTTGCATTTGGTCAGTGCCTTGACTTTTTATGCTCTTCTTCGAATATCGTAATTTTTTATCTTTGTTCTTCTTTCCCTGAATCATGCTCAGGGTTTAGATAGAGATCCATTAGTTATGATGATGCTTCTTGCAACCCAGAACCTCTTGATAAGTTGAGGTAAGTGCTTCTTTGATCCCTTTCCAGTTGTCCTCTATAGTAGTTTCTTCTTCTTTGTGCAGATATTGTAGGTCTTGGATTCTGTTGTTGAGAGGTATCTTGAATTCATTGAGTTTGTCAGTATGTCGAAGGAAGACAGTATTGAATGTTTGTACTGCTGTTTCCACTTTTTCAGTTATCCTTTGTATTCAATTTCATCTAGGCGACCACCAGATGGTGGTCTGAAACTATATCAGCTCTTCTCCTGATTCTCACGTCTTCCATTGACCCTCTGAATTTTTATTGATACAAATATTATCTATTTGATTTTCTGTGTTGTAATACGGTGAGATCCATAGAGATTTGTTCATGTGTTTGTGAAGGAATATTGTGTCACCTGTAACCAATTTATTGGATGTACATAGATCTGCAAATCTCTCACCGTCGTCGTTTCGTTAGATTCCGTTTCGTCCTAGTATGGGACTCCTCAGTAGTGCGCATCCACATCCCCCCTTCCGCGGGATTCGAACGGCCATCCAATGCTTCCAGGTCTTCTATGGTGGTCTAGCTTCAATTGACTCATGATTTCAACTATTGAAAAAGACAATTTAACCATATGAATTAATCCGTCCATAAATATGAGAATCATACAATGAATACTTCATTCGCAAATATCCATCATTTGTCTTTCACATTCAGTATGATTTTTGTAGTCGAAACATCATGGAAGTAGCTTAACATTTACTGGATTGGATTTGTAAGCGTGATATTTTCTCAATTGATAACACATTAGCGTTTTAAATGGAAGTTAACTCATTCAAGTCTAAGTGTGTAACATCAATACTGTGATTAGGTGTGTCAAGCTAACAATTCTTAAATGAGACGAGATAAATGTACTAAATTCCATTGTTAGTCAATTTACAAGTTTAATTAAATTAATGGATTAGATTTTTGAAAAAAAAAACTCAGTAGACAATTACGCAATCGCCTTAATGCATTTTTTCTTTAAAAAGCGTTAAACTACTGAAATATATACAAGTAGTAGAGTGAGATCTGAAAATTAATGTAAATTCACTTGGTATTCTTTGCTTGAATCTTCCCATTGTGGTTTAAGATTGTAATTGATAAGTCTGTTATTGACATATGTGAATACTATGCATATCGCATCGATATTAATTCACAAGCTTTATAAGCAAATATGGATGAGTCCCGAATAGGACGAAACACATGTCCTGGATTCCAGTGCTAACCACTATCCATTTTTGCTTACTAATATATAGTTTTCTATGCTGAAATGTTCATTGCAAAAACAAACAAATAAATATATTTATGTGTATGATTTGATCAGTCTTGTCATATAATATATGTCAGTCACTTGTATTCAGGACGGCATTCATGCCCATTTGAAAAGTTTTAGTCTATCTGAACTCCGAGGATAATGGGTTATTTTGTGAAGATAAGGAGACTGGGTTCATGTCTGATTGTAAATATCATCAGTGAAATGGAGTTTTGAACAGCTGATCAGTCTGAAATAGAACAAAGTATGCATCCTAAACTCCACTGCTGATCATGATCCATTATCTGTATATAGCTAGTGACAGATTATTTATATCAAAGTACTTCTTTCAGAATGCACGTATTTCAACTAAAGTTGACCCATATTCAACCCTGTATATTATCTGATCAATAGTGTAGATCACGTTATGATTACTAATGTCAACTGGACGGTTTAACAGTGAGTTATAGTTTTTCTTCACTTGAGTTTAATTTCAGTTTGTTAGTTATCATTAATTTTTCTGTAGACTATCAATTTAAGGGATTTATGGTATAGATGAGTGTAGAGGTCGTTGAGTTTTGTCACTTTGCATCGTTTAATAACTTAAATCAGATAGTTAATGAAAGTTATAAGATATTAGACAACTGTTTGATCATATGAAAGGCTGTTTTTCAGCAGTGAACATCGACGACCGTACTGCAGGTCGAACCTAGAACTTCCAGGTCCCTAAGGTGAATGCTTGGTAATCCATAGAAAAGCACGGAGTACCGGATAACTGTTTCTTTTAGGATGAGATTCATTAGCAGTGTGTACGAACTTCTCAGGAATGTAAAAATAAGACACATACACTGTGAAACCTGAAAATTTAAAGTGTCATCTCTAATTTTAGTCCTGAGTGCACACGTATGAGTAGTATCATACTAGCGCCGAACAAATATCTAAATATTCCTTGACTTTTAACAGTTCATAATCGAGATTTTACTCAAGTTTATTAAACTCCATAACCAGTTAGTCAGTTATCTTTTAAGTTCTATTCAAAAAAGAAGCATAAATGAAAGAAATAACCTTCTTACCGTAGATACACAGGATCCATTTGAAGTAAGCGATAGCCTTGAACCATTCACTGGTAAAAATCAAACAATAATGTAATACTGAATAAAGTTTATAGATAAATGGGAAGTTAGTTTACAAAATAAAAACTCAAAAAAATACTGACAATGACAAGTGTGGGATACCAAATGCCCAGGTACGGTCGAGGGTATGGGGAGTTAGCCACTGCCAGGGAAGTCCTACTCATTGCCTTCTCTTGATGGGGGTGTTATTCACGAAATTAAGAAGACGGGAAGCGAATGTCCAGCACTTTAAGCGGGTTGTTGGATATGGAGGACCCACCTAGGGGGGTTGAGAAACCCTGATTCTAACCGAGTGGTGCAAATGGACTCAAGGATCCTGAAGGAACAAATGGCGTATGATCCTATTATTGGTTACCGGCTACCATGGAACTCCATTTTCTGACGTTGCTCCACTGTCTCGTGGATCAGACCCATAGGTTGAAGTCTCCAGGTGTGCCTTCACCCCAAGAAAATCACCTGCTTCGGTCTGGGCACCCGGGCAGTATCACAGCTCGCACACAAATCAAGTGACTTTTGAAGCCCACATGTATTCGGGGCCGCTTTGCACCACCATTTATTTCTGTTTATCAAAAAGACAGGAACATTTTAGTGAGTTGACAACACACACACACAAACAAACACCTCACTTGATGGTTATTTATTTCGATAGAAGATTACCTCATTCAATTTCTGCTACATAAATTTTACCTGAGATAAGCAAACAGATTAGATGGATAAAAGTTTTGTAGTTTAATCACCCGTGAATAATATTGAAATCTGGATATCAGACAATTACTTTTTGATATTTCAATATTACTAATATACATCATCAACAGTTTGTACATATCATAGGTCGATTTCACTTGCGGTGTTATCGGAAACCAGGGGACACTAGAAAGTTGTTACGTCCTAGTGTGAAACTTATGGGGAATCCTTATCAAAAACCCTGAGAGAAATAGAACTTGACCTCTTCATATCTTACAAGGAACGGTGAATTATCAAAAAACACTGTGTTGATTGATATTACTACAATAACACATATATGGTGATGTACCGCTTCAAATACTTAGGAATTATTATTGTCATTATGTTATGAGGAACTTTGATGTGTGGGCGAGAATGATAATGATTGGTTGTCTGCTTAGTCAGACATGTAGATCGTCTTACAAATGTCAGATGAGTTATATATTCCCCTTATCCTTATTATTATTACGTCTCACTTATTATTGATTGTTCATTGTTGTTGGATTGTGTCGGGTTTTTAGTGTGGAAGTATATTTACGTTGTGGTCAAACTAATCACATGGTCTTGACCTGAGTTGTGTTGAATTCCTGTAGAATAGACCGTGGGAGGGAATTTAGTGTAGATAATCGTTGAAGGTAAATTAACGTCCCGTACGTGGAAACTCAACCGTTATACATTAGACAAAGTAAAACCGAGCGTTATAACAAACTTTTCATAATCTGTATTTGTATCTAGGTGAGACTTTGTCAATACTGCTTATCTATGACTTTATACACGACTGAAACAAGACCTTTGATAGGCTGAATAGGTTCAAACATGTCAAATCCTAGTGAGAAATTGAAAAGACCTCATACTATCCCAAAACTACATAAAGGCAAGCAAAAAAATGTAAACGTAGACAATCTAATATGATTTAGGGAGTTATTTATTTACCCAAAGTCATGACTTTGATTTCCCCAACTGGGTCAATTATGATACACATTTATAAATTCGAGGGATTTGTACACTGAACTTTTAATAAATCAGAATGAAAATCAAAGTAATAGTAACTTCCAAGTCTAATTTATGGATTATTATCATATACATTCTTATTGTATAATTTCTGCGTAACTATGTATATATTCAGCAAACTGCATCACGAAACAAGAGCTAACTTAGAATCCTGAAAGTAAGCAGAAAAGAGGGTGGCCAGAGAATACATTACGTCAAGAAATAGAGGCAGATATGAAGAAGGATGAATAACAATTGAAAAGACCTGGAAAGGATTGCCCAGGACAGGGTTGGATGGAGAATGCTGGTCAGCGGCCTATGCTCCTCCACGAGGAGTAACAGACGTAAGTAGGTAAGTAAGTAAGTAAGTAAACATGTATACATTCCATGTATCACACTCTTTCGGTTAACCCAAAAACTAGTTTCATACGACTTATTATTTATAATTCATTGCCCGTCTTTTATTTACAGTCTCCTCTATTCACAGCTACTTTTCGTTTGTTCATGTATAATTATGATTTTGCATTTTATAGGGTGATTTGGTCTGTTATGGCTGTATATAAACCAAGTTCGTTAAAATAAAATTATAGTAGAAGCTGGTTTCTGACTTTTTGGTCTCAAGGTAGGGGAAGAGAAGCTTGAGAATAATGAACCAATGGGAACTCAGCTATGTCGGTTCAATATCAGTATTGCTGATCTGACGTGTAATTGGTCAAATCGGGGACCGTGGGTTATAGTGGACACAGAACAGATGAGATTAGAACTGGGATTCTGATTAGTGCTTAAGGACTTGATATAAGTCAGCGGTCTTCAAGACAAAACAAATTTATTCTATCATTAAAGCTTCCTATGTAAATATCCCCTTTCCTACCACCATTACATAAATTGATAATTAACATTGATAACAAATATTTAGATTAAATCACCTCCAAATCCACTGATTATTTGTGGACCAGATTCTGGGCAACTAAAGCCAGATGTTGTACCAATTAGACTGGCTGGAGCAGCATATGGTAATTTAATTGGTGTTCCAGGTGGTGCACTTATAGTTCCTGGTAAATTTATCTCATTATCTTGATTAGTTCGATTACCACTGCTACTACTATTACTCATCATTCCTTTAATCATTAAACCAGTAGATGGCATAAATTGATTATATAAATAAGATGGTGATAATGGAACAATTCCATAAATTCTTTCAGCATCATCATGCTTTGCGATAGACGATGATAATGATCTACCGTCAATTTGTCGTCGTCTTGCTCTTGTCAGTAAACTTTGTTGTTGTGATATACTCGATGCGGAAACAAGTTTATCTGACTGATTTATACTAGAATCTAGATTACATAATCTTGGTGGAATAAAATAACGATTATGCAATCCATCTCCAACAGTTTCATTGTTATTCACTTTACGTAACCAATTATATGTTGAAGGTTGAATTGGATCACATCCCATGTAACCATAATTCATAGCTCTTATCGATGCTTGAATTCTATAGTCATTAGAAAGAAATTCTTCTGTATCTGAAGCTGAGTTGAATCGTGTTAATTCATTGGTTTTCTTATCGTTTTCTACAACAAGAAAATAGAATTAAACAAAGTTGAGTAAGCTTACTACTGAATAACTAATTAAGTAGATCAAATGAAAAACTATAAAAAAACCCATGAGATTACATCAGTTAACTAGGTGAGTCAAGTTATCAAATGTAAATCTTTGGATACCATTTAAATGATCTAAGTGTTAAGCGCTCTTCGAAAGGTCTGAAAGTCCCGGGTCTGATCCTTAGTGAGATCTGCAATGTTAACTGCTGAGTCCTATGCAAGAAAGGATTAAATAGTAGTTCAGTGCATCATTGTTTTCAATAGCTAAGATCAGTTTGTGATTTAGATAACAAAAGATTACTTCTTAATTAATATGAAATTATACCAAACTACCAATCATGAGCAGGATCTAAGGCAAAGTTCTGTCTTTTCTGTCTTTTTATTAGTGAGTTTGTGAATAGACTGACAAAAATTTCACTGAGTCTTTTTTCCTAATCCATGATTACGTTTTTCTCACTTATGGTCGTATATTCTCGTTGAAGATATTCACTTATCAAATGGTGGATTAATTCATTTTCCGGTACCTTAGAAGGTTGTAATTAGTTTTATAAATGATACCTGCTGCAAACTTGGAATAATGCCATTAAGAACAAACTATATTCTTAGGTTATTAGTACTTGATCATAAGTGTCTTCAAATCCATTGCTTGTGTCTTTAAGGATCACTGAATAAGCAATACTTTGATTAGGAATAGAGTAATGTGTAAGGATGGAAAGTGTATTGATGAGGGCTTAAACCTTAACCAACTGAGGTAGTTGGGATATGTGTTACATATGACCAACCACCACCGACCCCTCAGGTGATGTCTTCTGATACAGGAGAAGGCTGGAATATAGGTAGGGGCAGCCAAACTGATGTACGTACGTACGTGCCAGTTTCTACGTTGTAATCTACTGAATGACTGACAGATAGATGTACATTTTAGATCACCTGAAGGTCAAAAAATAGTGTTTTGAAACTATCATGATCTGTGGATCATATCAATAAAGTTACTGATCTTTTCATAGGGTTTATACAACACAGTACTATATACAGCTAAGTTCATCATTAATGCAATGGTTTAATTGACAAGCGAATTTCAATTGGATTATATTCCAGAATAGAATCTGCACCATAGACAATAAACTATAAAGATATAATTTCACTTTTTCACACTGTATCATCACAGTCAAACAACAGATGACATAAGAGAGTTTTTGTTGTCAACATTAATCGGCTAAATAAAAGTACTTTTACAGAATCCTTACATTGTCAATGACACTTTATACATTTCATACGCGAAATCTAGAAGCGATTACCTTCATCGTGATTGGTTTGTTAGTGGTAGTATTGTAGTGAACAGAACACGAGTGGGGCAATCGAATGTATTTGAGCACTAAATTACAGAGCACCTCGATGAAATCTGAGAAACGTTTAGTAAATGCTTGATTTTCAAAATGTCCATCGGTTGTCTTAAAATGGCTCAGACTTCATTGTTCATACAAATTGCATTCTGCTTCCATTCTTTACTGTTCGATCCTCTTGTCTCACTGCTGCCAGACCTTCTGTTCACGACTAACATCATATACTACTCATGTCGATAGAAGTAACATACACCACACTCGTCACCCTCTTTAAAGTAGTCGTTACTGCGGTGGTCCATGCTTGACGTGCCACATTCTTCTTTTCTGAAGTCTGCGCTACGCCCTCCGTCAAAATGTCGAATCTGCAGTGCGCTGACCTTCGTAGCTCCGTCTACCTGCCGTGGCACCAACATCCACCCGGCACATCGGACGTTCAACTCCTGCACTCCAACAGCCTGCTGAGCCATCTGCATCCGATCTCCGCCCAGCATCCTCACATCCCATCACCTCTATCTGTCGACAGCACCCACTAGGGCCAACGCCACTCCGTCAGAGCACTCCACTCGACGCTACCTCTCCGCACCAGACTGCCCCAACCGACACCCCAGCTCCAGGCCTGCAACGGCATCCACAGAACAGCACCCTTCCCCTCCTAGTTGACAGAGACATCAAATGTAGTGAACAAGAACACGAGTGGGAACAATCGGATGTATTCGACACGAAATTACAGAGCATCTCATTAAAATCTGAGAACCATAATGTAAATCGTTCATTTGCAAAATTTCAATCCATCATATCAAACTTGACTGTTTCTGTTGTCTCAGATTTCATTGATCATGCGTTTTCATACCAATTGCATTCCGTTCCAGTTCTTTGTTCATCGAATTTTTACTGAAATACATTCTATGCCCGGCCACCGTTATACACTACTTGTGTGAATATAAGTAACCCACACCGCAGTATAATTTGATCAAAACTGTTTATTGTTTTCATCATAGAGATCAAGCATATACAAAACATTTTCCTGAATATGTTCTTGAAGTCGAAGAATAAATTGAACTTAGACACTCTATTTAAATAAATCTGCCATGTAGTTTATAATCTACCGTCAGAAAGGTCTATCTTAAAGAATTAAACTCTTGAAATTATTCAAAATGAATGATGTGACAAAATATTCCTCATAGATGTGTTCATTACTAAGATGTAGAAAGTTAAATAATCGAATAAACTAAGGGGTCATATATCTAAATAGTAAAACTCTTTAGAAACTTCTCATTTGATGTCTTTTAAAGTATCCTATCCAACAACTGTAGAAGCTTTTTTAGTAGCAAACGTTTCACTATTAATCAAGTTATGACTGTCAGTTTCAATTTCTTCACGCTGTCGAGAAGTCCCATACGGAGAAGAAACGTTTTTTCAGTGCTTCCATGTTTTCCATGGTGATATAACTTTAAGTGACTCATGAATTCAACTGCTAAATTACTATTATATCCACGAAACCCCTCTCTCTAATTGTAATCATCAAATGTTCACTACTGACGGACTCGAAGGGGTATTTCCTGGAGTTTTAGTGAGAATCCATGACCAGTGAGGTTCAACCGGGTTAGTAGTGAGATAGTAACTCACTGATGACAATAGCAGACGGTGGAGCAACTTCGTGGATTCATTGAAGTAAGATATTAACACCGTTGGATGCCGGCCAGCCCAGTTACTTACTAACGTACTTACGCCTGTTACTCCCTATCGAGTATAGGCCACCAACAACTATTCTACAGCCCACTCTCTACTGGGCCTTCTTCCTAGTTCTATCAAATTCTCATTCATTCTTCTCATGTCTGTCTCCATTTCTCAACCTAATGTGTTCTTTCGTCTTCCTCTTCTCCTTTGGCCTTCAGGATTTCATAAGAGGGCTTACCTTGTGATGAAGTTCGGTGCTTTCCTCAATGTGTGTCCTATCCACTTCCAGTGCTTCTTCCTGATTTCTTCCTCAGTTGGTTTGTTCTGGTTTGTTCTCTCCCACAGTAGGTTGTTGCTGATAGTGTCAGGTCAACGGATCCGAACTATTTTGTGTAGATAGCTGTTAATAAACACTTGTATCTTGTGGATGATGGCTTTTGTAGTTCTCCAAGTTTCCATCTCATACAGTAGAACTGTGTTGACATTTGTATTGAAAATTGTGACCTTGATGTTGGTTGACAATTGTTTTGATTTCCAGATGTTCTTCAGTTGTAGATATTTTGGTCTTACTTTGCCGATCCGCGCTTTCACATCTGCATCAGATCCACCGTGTTCATCAATGATGCTGCCCAGATATGTAAAGGTTTTAACATCTTCCAAATCTTCTCCGTCAATTGTGATTCGATTGGTGCATTCTGTGTTGTGTCGAAAAATATTGGTTTTCCCTTTGTGTATGTTGACACCTATTGCTTCTGAGGCTGCTGCTACACTGGTTATCTTCTCTTGCATTTGTAGTTGTGTGTACAATAGAAGAGCCATCTCAGTGGTCTAGTGATTAAGAGTTCGCGCGCAAGACTGATAGATCCGGAATTCCAATCTCGCGGGGCGGGATCTTGAATGCACACTGTCGAGGAGTTCCATACTAAGACAAAATGGCCGTACATTACTTCCAGGTTTTATACTGTGGTCTAATTTCAATTCACTCATGAATTCAACTATTAAATTACATTAATTATGTTTACTTTAATCAAAAGAAAATAAGAGAATTATTTAATTTCAGATGGGTTTTGTAGATATTCTAGTAATTTCAACGGTTAAGATCATGAGTCGGTTGAAGCTAGATCACCATGGAAAACCTGGAAGCACTGGACGGCCGTTTCTTCCTACTGTGGGACTTCTTAGCAGTGCGCACCCACGACCTCGCCTCAAGAGATTCGGACCCGGGACCTACAGGTTTCGCGAGCGAACACTTAACCACTAGACCACTGAGCCGGCATCCAACAGCGTTAATGTCTAACTTCAACTAATCTATGAAATTGAGCTGCTATATACACTTGTCATCAGTGAGTTGTTATCTCATAACCGACCTGGTTGAACCCCACTAGAACTCCAGAAAATACCTCTCGAAGTCAGTCACTAGTGAGCCTCCCAGTTTTCCATGGTGGTCTAGCTTCAACTGACTCATGATCTTAACCAATGAAATTATTGAATGAATAAAGATTATTAAATATCAATTTATAACTTACCAGTTCCTGAAATGGACATTAATCGTCTTTCATGTTGATTTAATAAATCTTCCACATCTGAACATACACCATGTTTTATATCCATATTAGTATATTCATTATTATTATTATTATTGTTACTAAGGGATTGTAAATGGAAATTGTTTATGATTGGTTGATTATTATGTAATTTATGACACCAATAAAATCTTGAATTCAAAGGGGAATAACTATTCGATTGTTTATGAATAGAATAATCAGAATGATTATTATTATTATTGTTTATAGAGTTAATGAATGGTGATGGTGATGATGGTGATGCTGATGTTGATGTTGACGATGGTGATGGTGGTGTTGAGGATGATGGTGGTGTTGAGGATGATGGTAATAAACAATTGTCCATGTTAGAATGTTTTTCATTTAATTGAATTGGAGGTTCTGTTTTGATGTTTTTCATGATTGTTTGTTTTTTTCTATCGATACTTGAACTGAAGAAAAAAAAAGGTTAATAATTACAAATTGTGAGAAAGAGAATGAATGTAATTTTTGATTGAGATTATGAATCGATTCATGTTATGTCACGATTAGAAATTTGGAAGTACTTGAAGATCGTTTGGTTCTAGTATGAGAATCCTCGTAAGTGCGTATTTACGAACCCGCTCGTGGGAATTCGAACCCAGGACCTGCGCCACCGCAAATACGTTTGAGTTATGTTATTCAAAGTCTCCAATCATGGGTTTTGATAATCATGTGAAACCCAACCAAGTGGTGTATACTTGTCAACATAGCTCAGTTCAGTTGTCACTGACTTCATAAACTGATGTGATATTTTGGTTCTGTGGCCCTTAGCTCTCCTCCATTCTGCTTCTACACCAGACAATATCACCCGTCAAGGTAGGTAATGGTTGGACACATGTATTACAAGTCTTAACCATCTCAGTTGATGAAGAGTCACTACTACATCAATAGATTTTCCATCCTTATCTAGTGCTCTATTTCTAACCAAGGCATTGCCTACTTGATGGTCGTAAAATATGCGAGCAATCCCTACACTACATGCATTCAAAAACTCAAAATAACTTGCCAGTACACAAAGTTAGTATTCACAGTCACTCTGTGTTCAAATGGATTTGAAATAGGTGGATTAATTGCAATATTTGTATTATATTTGAAAAACAATTTAGTAGGTTGCTTAAGTTTTGCACTCGTTTTTACATATGACAATATATGTAATTAGCGTTGAGCGCATAACTGTCTAATTGATTACTCCGTCTTATTAAAATGTTTATTCAATGCACCAAACACCACACAAATAGAGTTAGATTAACGCCATATTATATCGCAAACTATGTGATGATAGAGGAGATTTATAACTCAGATGGATGTTTTGGTAGAGTTTTGTTCACTGAGCGACACTATCAGCACAAACTTTATATAGAAGTCATTCAGAATAACGATAAAAGCCCCACAACCAAACCATCCAGCTCAGAGAACAAAACCTCCACCAATATCGCAAACTAATTAAAGCTGGGATTATGCTATTGGACACTGAATTATTGATTCTGTAGGTAAATATTCACTGTGAAACCTTGAGGTCTTTGTTTCGACCTCTACCATGGTCATGGGTATGCACTTCTGAAGAATAACATACTAGGATGAAACATCTGTTCAGTACTATTACAATTAAAACCAATCTCTGATGAATACAATCTACAAATTAAACCAACCTCCATAACATACATAATTTATCAAAAGGGGTTTGTGGAGATTTTTAGAAATTTTCACAGATTGAACTGTTGAGTCAGTTGAAGCTAGACCACCATTGAAAACCTGGAAGCACTGGACGGCCGTTTCGTCCTAGTATGGGACTCCTCAGCAGTGCGCATCCACGATCCCGCACCACGCGTGGCTCGAACCCAGGACCTACTGGCTTCGCGCGCGAGCACTTAACCACTAAACCACTGAGCGGACATCCAACGGTGTTGATGATTTCAATCTGTGAAAATTTCTAAAAATCTCCACGAACCCCTTCTCATAATAATCATCTGCTCACTAGTGACTGACTTCAAGAGATACTCCTGGAGTTCTAGTGGGAAGTCGTTACCAGTGGAGCACAACCAGGTCTGTTGTGAGATATCAGCTCACCGAAGACAACTTCGTGGATTGGTTGAAGTTAGACATTAACACCGTTGGATGCCGGCTCAGTGGTCTAATGGTTAAGTGCCCGCGCGCGAAGCCAGTAGGTCCTGTGTTCGAATCTCGTGGGGTGGCAGGATCGTGGATGCGCACTGCTGAGGAGTCCCATACTAGGGCGAAACGGCCGTCCAGTTCTTGCAGGTTTTCAACGGTGGTCTAGCTTTAACTGACTCATGATTTCAATCTGTGAAAATATATCATTTATGACAAACAAAATATAAGTTTAATTCATTAAAATAAGGATTCACCTTAAATTTGTCATTCCATCAGATAATTGTGCGGTTGATGAATTACTATTACCATTATTATTCATTGATGAACTGTCACTTAATCGATTCATTTTATTTAATTCTGGTAAATCAGGCATCCATAATGATTCTTGTGCTTCTCTCATACCTTCTTGTAATCGTTCATGCATACGACGTGCATAATTGCCTAGATTCTCTTCTTCATCTCCACCACCACCACCACCACCACCACCATCACCACCACCTCCTCCAACTCCTCTTCCCTGTTGTTGAGATTGTTGTTGTTCATGATGAACATCAATTTGATGAATAGATGATTTCATAGAACTAAAATTTAACATCTTTGATTGATATATCATAGAATAAGGATTATGTAAATTTCTTGGCAATGATCCAATTATATTCGTATGATGTAATGGATCATTCATATTTGATTGTTTTGTTTGTAATGGTAATGTAAAATTTATATTATGAATTGGTAAATTAATACATTCTATTCCACTATCTGATTGATAACCACAATAGATTCGATTCATTTGATGATGATTATTATTATTATCGGATGAATTACATTTCTTATTCATCATTAAATGTTCTTTCATGAAATTAGATTGTAATGAATTACTTTTATATAGATCAACTTTCTCTGATACACATGGATTGGATTGTAATTGCTGTTGTTGTTGAGGTTGCTGCTGTTGTTGAGGCTGTTGCCGTTGTTGTTGGTGATGTTGCTGTTCATGTTGTTGTTGTTGTTGTTGTGGAAGTTGCTGTTGTTGTTGTTGTTGCTGTTGGTGGTGGTGGTGGTGGTAGTGTTGTTGTGGATCAAGATTATTTCGATGAATCTCATTGGATTTTGATGGGATTAATTGTAAATTACTTTCTGAATAATATTGATTTATTAATTGATTATTTTTTGATAGATTATCATCAGTTAAAGTATTCGATTGTTGTAATGTTTGTATAGTTATTGGATTTGTATTAGTTTGTTCAATGGATTGAGTAATCAATGTGTTATTTCTATGTTGGTTCGTTTCATTATTCTGATTTGGTTTTAGAATAGTTTTCATATCAGATGTTTGTATTGTATCATTATCATCATCATTATTAAGATGGTGTTGTTGACGATGATGATGATGATGACGGCGATGTGGATTTACAGAATCATTATTTATAGTGTTATTATGACTAGTTGATGGATAACGTTGTTTTAAAGCAACATATAATTCACGAGCTTTACGACGTTGTTCTGTATTGTCTATTGATTTTTTACTTAAACTTCTATGATATGATGATGATGATGATTGTTGTTCTATATTGATTACTGATAGAGTTGGTGATGTTAATCCTGATGATGTGGTCTCTGTTGTAATTATTTCAGTAGATTGGATAGGATTAAGTGTACCGGATTGAGAATGAAAATAATCTGAATGAGTAGTTTCTGATGAAGGTTGGATAGCTTCTTTCACTTGATTACATTTTAATAAAAGAAGAATATAAAAATGGCTATTATATATGTATATAACCAAGTTACGGTATTTATGATAATGACAACTAGTAGTTAGGTGAGTTAGGGTGATGTAGCTCACAGTTCGTTGTAGTCACGAATATAAGTCATAATAAATACTTATCGAATAAACCCGACGGATTTGAGAAAGTAGCATTTTGCACAACATTACCTTGTACCTTGCTGAAAGTAAATTAGCACCTACCAATGTTTAGATACGATAACGCTTAAAATTTACAGGTGTGGTAAGGCTAAAAAAGATAGAAAGAAACTTAAGCTGTCTGAAGAGTAGTCCTGATAAATCGATTAGTTTTTCATTGAGATCCTAAACTGATTTAAGCTAGACAACTATGGAAAATTTGTAAGGAATAAATAACCGTTCCATCCTATAGTATGATACTCCTAAGTAATGCACATCCATGACCCCGCACGAAGGGATAGAACCCATGATCTTCAGTCCCATACGCAAACACTTAATCTCTAGACCACCGTTGGATGCTATCTAAATGGTCTACAGGTTGAAAATTCGCACAACAGACTGGGGTCCTGGGTTCGATTCCCGTGACCAGGGTTGTGGTTGTGCTCTACTGAGGAGTTTCATACTTAGCTGTCTAATATTTCTAGTCTCACAATGGTGATCTAACATTGATGGGCTCATAATTTCAATGAAATTCAACAATCCCAACAACCCTATAATTACTACTAGTTTTTAATGTACAAAGTAGTCAAAAACAAATCGAGATAAAATGTATTCAACATTTAAATAATGATATATGAATTTTTCAATGTAAGTTAAATTTTCTTTAGATTTGAAATAGTAGAACCGACCATGTATTTATTTATATAAAAGGCTACAAACCAATCACTCATTGTAATCCTATTTCCCAAATCCTAAACTTAATTCTTGTTTGATTTTGCTACAATTAAATGTTCACTTATGTTGTTTGTAAGCAAAGATGGATAGTGACTAGCAGTGGAATCCAAGACGCGCGTTTCGTCCTATTCGGGCCTTGTCAGCTGAATGTAATTGCATCTTTAGAACTCGAACCCAGTACCGTACAAGAGACTGATCGACTGCAGTCTTAAATAACAATGGGAAGATACAAATAAAACAATGCCAAGTGAATTATGTTGTTTGTTTTTCAACTGGTTAAAAGCTGCACACAACTCTTAAGATCAAGTATAAATCTTCTCATGATGGTCTGTGAATTTTCGTTTCCCACCTCTGTGACATTAATATTTGTATATTGAATATTGAATGGATATATCTTCATCTTATAAAGACCAGTTGTCACTCGAACAGTACACTAATGATGACATGTTTATTTACGATATTGAATAAATCAAGCTTGAGATGTACGTGTGGGAGTGTCTATTACCTCAAGACTTCAGATACTACTTTTTAACAACAATCATCATCTAATACAAAGTGATTTCCTAAGTGTTCCTAGTAATTAATTATAGGCCAATACTGTATAAGATAGAATGAAAGTGACTATCATCAAATGAGATTATTACAGGTAATCTAATTATCAAGTGTTCTTTTCTTCATACCTCTGGAAATTTACACTTTTATGCATATTTGAAATTCACTTACCATTTTGTGTTTGAGACGATATATTAGGCAAATATTTATATGTCAGATTGGTTGATGTACTACTACTGCTAGTAGTAGCTGCATTCATTTCTTGTCTAGTTTTTGTTATCAATGATGTTTTATTAACTTGCTGTACTGAATGCATGGATTGATGATTAGATACATTTTGAGCTTGATTTGTCTCTTGAATTATAACACGACGACTTATAACTGCATTATTTTTGTTTATAATCGTAGTTGTAGTTATACCATTGATAGTAGAAATAGTAGTAGTAGTAGTAGTGGTGGTGGTCGTCGTTATGGCAACAGTAGGAGCAGCATTTGTTACACTTGAATAATTACAGTGTGTAACTGACATAAAATTGGAATTCGGCGCTTGAGTAGCTGGACGATATGAAATCGGTGGAACAAATGGTTGTATTATTGGTGAGTATTGTTGTATGTTTACAGTGGATTGATGATTGTGTATTTGTGTACATTGTGTGAGCGGTAGTGGTGGTGGTGTAGACCTATGGGTATTGATTGGTTAACTGTAGAACAAATAATATTAGTATCATTTGAATAAGGAATACCAGTTTTGATAATGTGTGAATTTGATTGAAGCGGTATTGTTTGATGATGGGATTGATGAGTTTGTTGGGTAGGTTGAAAGTGTTGTTGTTGTTGTTGATTAGTCCTTTGTTCAATATACTGTTTCCCGTCATATAACGTCGTGTATCATGAAGATAACTAGACATTAATGGTTGTATTGTGTTTGTTGATATTGAATTGATTGAATGAGATCGCTCTGGTGTAATTGGATGTTGAAACTAGACAATAACAATAACAAAATAGTAAAACGTTATCAGTTTAATATATTACTTATATTCAATTAGTAAGAAATTAGTGTTTGTAGTTATGTATCTTATGTATAAAACTATTATAGCTCTCTTGATGTTTACATTAAAATGAATTTGATATGACCCTTTTCCGTTTAGATCTATCTTAATTCATCTAATTAGAATAGTACGGTCAGTCAATAATTCATACAATATGACTAGTTTTCTGGATGAATACTTTCATCATTGTCATATCCGAACGAAGAATAGATGAATGGTAACTGTCTGGGATTATTTATGGATTATTATTATTACATGTATTCCTATTGGATATCTATTAAGTAACTACATTATATATATATATACCAAGGTCAGAATTTTCAATACAAATGTCAGCATAGTTCTACTGTATGAGATGGAAACCCGGAGAACTACGAAAGCCATCATCCACAAAATACAAGTGTTTATTAACAGCTGTCTACGCAAAATACTTCGGATCCGTTGACCTGACACTGTCACAACACCTACTATGGGAGAGAACAAATCAGAACAAACCAGCTGAGGAAGAAATCAGAATGAAGCACTGGAAGTGGATAGGACACACATTGAGGAGAGCACCGAACTGCGTCACAAGACAAGCCCTCACATGAAATTCTCGAGGCCAAAGGAGAAGAGGAAGACGAAGAACACATTAGGTTGAGAAATAGAGACAGACATGAGAAGAATGAATGAGAATTGGATGGAACTAGAAAAGAAAGCTCAGTAGAGAGTGGGTATAGAATAGTGGTTGGTGGCCTATGCTCGATTGGGATTAACAGGCGTAACTAAGTAATTAAGTAAGTAATATATATTTCTTTTTATTATGAGCTTCCATTTGACCTATTGACTACGATTATACGATCTACTATTCTTAAGTTATTCCAATATATTAGTTACAGTCCCTCACACAATCATTCACACTATAGTACCTCAAAAATATTAATGGAATTTTTAGTCACTTCTCAAAGTAACATTAGTAGACGATTACAAGTACTTTATATAGGCCATAGAATCACTCATCATCACTGATCTATTCAATTTTTTTTAGGACAACATTGTAGTCTTTTTATCAAGAGAATACTGGTTTCGAACTATCATATCTGACACAACAACCAAAACATTTAAGACAACTCTTTACTTACAGTTTGATGATTATTTCAGAATATGCCATACATCATTATGACAACTTTTAGTTAAACCAATTTAATTATATCTATAATTTATGGATGACCTTTGAACGGTGCTAAAGTGACCTTGACGGGGTCCACCTCATAACCAGGATCAAATGAGGGTTATGAACCTGTATGAGGAATTATAATTATAATTTACAGTTGATGATTAAGGTTAGTGATAAGTCTTGCTAATTGAACGCTGTATTCGATTCCTAAGCTATTCTCATAACCCACAAGCTAGAACTACATAGCGACCTGAACTCGAGAGAAAAGGCGCAAAATATGCAAGAAGCACTTTACTCCAAAGTACAGAAAATATAGGGTTTTTATAGTATTTTAGATGTCCTTAGGTTTCCCGAAGATTCTGGAATACTACTAAAGATAGTATCAGTATAGTAATCAGCCAATCAGAAACTCTACATGTGACTTTTCACTTTCTTGATATTTCTGGCCAAACTTCAAGTGAACGCTGAATGGATGAAATGCTTCTTAATGTTTCCTGAGTCTTTCTTGTCTTTTGCGAGAAGGTTTCTAGATCACCTCAACAGTTAAGAATTAGATTTAGGGGGTTCTCATCACGAACTGACATAATCTATAATGACAAAATTCTATTTATGTAAATGGATGAGTGAATTTCGCGCGTCAAAATCCCAAAAACCTGTTATCTTATACCTGATTAGTTCGTCCATAACTTATAGTCTCTTCCATTCTATCATTATATATTTTCATAATATCATGCATAACCACCATAATAATTTTTCACTTACTTCATTTGTTCCCGAGATAAATGTATTTGGATATTGGATAGAATGATGTTGATGTTGATGTTGATGATAATGTGAAGGATGATGATGAGGCAGCGGCGGTGGTAGAGAAGGTGAATAATTCATTGATGATGATATTTCTTGAGATGTAGTTATTTGTTTTAAAGTTTGGTTTGTATTTTGTTGATGAATATTCATTGGTGTAGTCGTAGTCGTAGCCATCGTCGTCGTCGTAGTAGTAGTATGTGGATGAGTAGGAGTAGTAGTACTAGTACTAGTACTAGTATGTATAATATTTCCAGATAATTTATTCATACATGTTATTGATTGATTATAGTTTATTGAATATGGATATTGTTTCTGTGTAGTAGTAGTAGTAGTAGTAGTATTATTATTATGATAATATTGACTTAATGTTATACGTGGTTGAATATTAGTTGTTTGATATGTATTATCTATACTATTCATATTCATATGACAAGTTGTATTATTAATTGAATGATTATCTAAAGTTGATTGATTTTGAATTGGATAATTCATATATGGAATACGATCGATTTTTGTTGGGGATTCTTTAATCTTTGAAGACGATGATGATGATGATGATGACATATGATATGAATTCATATTAGATTGTTGATATAAATTTAATTGACGTGGCATTGGTATACCAGATGAAGTTATTGTTGTTGATAATGGTAATATATTCTCTATTGTAGACGAGATAATCTCTGTTGTCTTGATTAATTTTTGTTCCAAAGATAATTTTGGTGATAAATTAGTTATATAATGAGAATTTTGTAATTTATTTCTATCGATTTCACTTGGTGATAGTTTATTGATTATTGATTTTTTTGGTGATGGAGAATTTCTTTGTTTTTGATGATAGTTGTTATGATGCTGTTGTTGCTGCTGCTGCTGATGATGATGATGATGATTGGATTTGTTTTGGATGACTTATATTCAAATCTAAGATAAGGAAGAAAGGAGGGAAAAGGAAATAATATGATGATTATGTCTTTTTCGTTATGAAAAATTTTAGATTAACTCCGCTGTAGCTTCTCTGAGGCCACTGACGGTCCCAAGCCAGAATAAAGGAGGAGTTTGGGCATGGGGTTAGTGATCCCATCGCGTAGAAAACCACTCGCTAAAAGAAACGCTGACCAGAAAAAGATAATTCAAACCATTTAATTCTGCCCTGGGAGTTAGAAGGTTTTCATTAAGAAGAGTTATCACGCCTCATGGTGAAAGCCGTGTTGCTTTGGAAGTCACAAGGCTGAGCCCCTTCTGACAACCAGAGCATCATTAAGTTATGTACACGGAATACTCGTACGATGTGGGAGACTGGGAGAATCTTCTAAATTGCTATAAGTTTTAGATAAACAACCAATGAAACCAGGACATTGTTTTATTCTAGTATTGAATATTTAAGCCATACACACCTTACTAAAATTTAACTTAAGAGCTTGAGACCACTTGATGAACTTGACAATCAGACCATTAAGTTAGCATCTAATGATCTGTGTACTGAATTACCTCTTGGATAAGGAGGAATTAGAGGATAAGTTTGAACAATTGTATTCAACTGAATTCAAGACCCATTTAGTCGTACTTCATCTATGTCTGTGGAAGATCGATAGCATTACCAGAATCGTACAAACCACTGGCTAGTCAGATTCATTGCTCTGGCCGATGCTTCAGAATCTGCATATGGGTTGCGGGTATGCTCGTTCCGAAAATGTCTTTCGTCAAGTTCATTTTTCCTTTTTGTTAACTAAGTCCAAAGTTTTTAAAGCCAAAAACTGAAGCACCATCTGCTAATAAACCTAAATCACTCTAAGAAAGCCTAAGGAAAAGAAGGACACCAACTGAAGTCAAGACTACGAAAAGGGCCTAAGGCCACTGCAACAAAGAAACCAGTAACACAGACCCAGAAAGAAGCAGGCAGCACATATTCGCCGTGGTATCGAGGATGGTGTTGAGAAAAGCGCCCTTGTACGAGTTGTGAATAAAACTAAGAGGGCACCTGGTAGCTTTACAGGACCAATGCCATTCTTAGACAGATCATGTGTAGTTGGAACCAGAATAAGATAGCAAATGCCCTTTTAGATATAGGTTGTGAATGACGCTTTAACCTTCCAAGAGTTAGTCAACGAGGCAGTGTAGAGGACGCATCATAAAGTCAATAAGAAGAATTCTGCAATCACTTTGTTTCAGAAGATATTGACGGATGAGTCTTTAGTGACGTTTTTTAATAGAAGCTGAAAGAATACTGAACATCGACCACCCTTAAAGCTAGTTAGTGACTGTGATAATGTGTATTACTTACGCCAAATAAGTTATTGTTGTTTACAGGGATGTATCATTCGACGAAGCGCAGATGAGTAAGAAGTCTTATAGAACCTATTCTGGAACAGTTGGTTATGGGAGTACCTACCAACCCTTCAGGCGAGATTCAAGTGGTTGGACATGAGAAGGAACCTACAATCGTGAGATTTAATGTTAGTAAAAACAATATTGGCTCACTGAGAAATCTATGGCCTAATGCCATTGTCAAACAGGTGAGCCATAGCCCTGATGGACGAGTTCGTACAGCAAAGTTGAGAACTGCAAACGAAGAAGTCGTTCGGGACGTACGAAGCCTATGCCTACTGGAAGAAGCCGGCTATCTGACGGCGACGACGACCCAGGACAATGGACTTGGTGTGCGC